CACCTCGTCCCCCGGGCGCAGCCCCGCCCGCGCCGCAGCGCTGCCCTCCTGCACCCGCAGGATGTAGCACGGGCCGCTGCCGCCTATCTGGAAGCCGAAGGACTCGGGCCAGCCCTGGTTGGTTGCCGGCATGGCTGTGACTGGAAAAGAAAGAGGGAAAGAAAGGAGTTGTGATGGCTTTCCCACTTTTAACAATAGTTCCCGTAGAGGCCGTGTGGATCCCGTGGGGTGGGGGGTTCTAGTCTGTGCTGTGCCCTCCTCACCGCGGGAAGAAATGCCCCAAGATGCTGGATTTGCCCTAGAGTTCCCTAAAATAACAGCTTTGGTTCTATCACTGGCTGCTGGCAGTGCCATGAGCAGTGAGGAGGCCACGTTGGCTGGAAAGGTTGAAGCTACACATGGCACCCAGACCATGGCCTGGCACAGCCTCTGTCTCTCCTGTCAGTGGCACCCACCTACCCCCTCTGCCCTGGAGATATATTTAGGCATCTGCTTGTGTTTATTTCCCTGGAAAAATGGTTATTTAATTTTCCTGGCAAAGCATATGAATGAACAGATGATCCAAGGACTTAAAACCACCTAATTTTAACCAGCTCTTTTCGACACTCAGTATTTTAGCTGTTTGCAACTATAAAATTACTACAAAATCATTAGAATTTGCCAGATCCTCTCAGCTCTCCTGGGAGCATTTCTTTGTGCCTCCCTGTCCCATGTATGGATTGTCCTGATCACAGCATCCTGAAATGGCAAGGTGAGGATTTTCAGAAGGACTTGTTTGTGATTCATGAGAAGGATTCAGACAGGCTTCATGGATGCTCAAGGAGAAATCGGGCACATCAGCCCTGAACATCTGCAGGAGCCGTCTTTGCCCAAGGTAAATCTGACCAGCTGATGTGCACGGTGCACTTGGATGCCCTTTCCATGCTGCTCATGTCCAGATGACCTCACTGTGGTCCCTTCCAACCCTCCCACTCTGTGATTCTGTGATGTGCAAGAGCCTGCACTGTCTGCTGACCCTCACTGAAATCATTCGCATGTAGTTTTCTTCTTCATTTGGTCCCATCTGTCTGTAAAAATGCTTTTTACTCCCATGTTTATTCCATCTGTGTTACTGAACACACATTAAGCTCTTACAAAAATGGAACCGAGCTGTTTGACCTGGACAAATTGTCTTACAGACTGGGAAGACTCGGCATCGCTCAAGAAAACATCCTCAGGAACACACGTTTGGTGCTCTTCAGATCAAAAAGCCTCAAACAGGCACAGAGCCCAGCAGCAGCCTCGAGGCAGCTTTTGGGGTGTCCCCCCCATGCCTGGGCAGCCCAGGGGGTCCCAGTTTGCTCTGGTCTGTGCTACTGCCAGCACAACAAAGGCCTCCCTTCACCCCTTCACCTCACCTCTGCTGGGGCAGGTGGCTCTCTGGGCTCTGGTCTGAATGACCAAAGACATTTCTTCTGCTCTTTAGACCTTGCTCAAAATTCACTGCTGCTGAAAACACTGTTTAATACCCAATTGCAGATGAAGGAGAAGAAAGGAGCTCTTCTCATGCCCATATTCAGCAGAGACAATAAGGCCCAGCTTGCTGGGAGAGCAGGATTGTGAGGATGAGCAGGGAATGAGGCATCACCACAGAAATCTGGGTTCACAACCTGAGTCTGCTCTGCTGTTTCAAACAGCTGCTTCAGGCTGTGTTAGAGGGCACCAGAAGTGTCACCTCCATCAGAAGATATTAATAAGGACCAATACACTGTCACTAACATTGTAAGTGTAATAATCTCATCCTCCTTTGTGCAGCAGTGCTGGTCAAATGCTGCCTAAAAATCAGGGACTACAGTTATTATTTAAAGGGGAAACAAAGCTGTTTTCCACATTAACAGTGTGGATGTCAAGGATCAGAAGGGAAGAGCTGAGGGTGAAGCAGGGGACAGCAATGGGATGAAATCCATCTGCGACCAAACACCATCCCTGGGGCTGCTGAGCACAAGTTTTGACAGCTCCAGCAAGAGCCCAGTAAGCACTGGGACAGCTCCAGCACCGCTGCTCCGGGCTGAGCTCCGGGGAAAAGCCCAGCAGAGCCGCGGGGAGCTGCACCCCCCTTCCACCTCTGCGCCCGTGGCTCGAGCACTTACAGAAGTCCGCAGCCATCCGAGCGAGCCGGGGGCTCTCACCGGCAGCAGGTTTGTCCCACTAAGGGGTCGAAGCTTTCTCCATTCTCCTCCATCACCCCTAGAAGCCAGTCCCACCTACCCGCAGGGCTCCTGGGAGCATCTTCCCGGCTCCCCCGTCCTCGCTGCAGCCCCCGGAATTCGGGCCCGGCCCTCGCCGGTCTGGGGGTGGCAGAAGCGGCTTCTGCCCCAGGGCAGGGGGTGGCTGCCCCTTCCTGCACTTCTCACGGGAGCCCTGCGCCCTTCTGGCCGCTCCAGGTCAGCGCCAGACACGCACCAAGGTCTTTCTTGCCTTTTCCTTTCCTAATTAACCTTATTTCCATCGCAAAGAGAAGCGCGGACGGACTAATTGCCGTGCTCGTCCTGGCTGAGCCTGTTGCTGACCTGAGCCTGCAGATCTGGGGGGAATTAGGAGCTGGAAGGAGGGAAAACAGATTAGCGCCCGTGGAGGGAAATCCTTTACCCGCAGGGCAAATCTGAAGCGACAGCACTTTGCAAAGCAGCAGGGACGCAGCGCCGGGGGGAACTGGGCGTGCCGGGACCTCGCTGGCAACGTGAGTGGGACACAGGGATTTTGGGAGTACAACCAACACGCGGTTTGCTGCAGGGATATGGGGGTCTGGACCAACTTCGGGGCTCACCAGAAGAGCTGTCCCCATCCAGGCTGCTCCACGCAGGACAGCAGGGGGCCCTCACAGCTGAGTATTTGGCCGCAGGGCCCCCCGTGCTGACACCGACTGTCCCTTAAGCTGCTATTTCTGATTTTCTCCTCGGCTTCCTCAGCACTCAGGGATCCCGGGGCTTAGCACAATAAGAGGTTTTAGGGAATTACACGTCCTGCTGTGGCACCATCTCTTCGTGGACCACACAGCAAGCCAGCCTTCCCTGGGCTCCAGCGTGGGCTGTGCAGTGTTGGGAAAGGTGGGAAACAACCTCTCCCGGGAAACCTGGGAGAGCTGACATGGGATCGGGTAAAGCCTTAGGATGGAGAGCTGCAGGGACCTGCTCTGCCCAGCCTGAGGGTGAGCAGGATGCACTGAAGGGTCTTCCTCCCACTCATGCCCTTCATGGTCACTGCTGCAGGGGATTGGAGCCCTCCTTCCTCCCACTCCTCCTCCTCCTCCTGTCCTCTCCATCTCCTTTCTGGCAGGTTCTCCTGCACAGATCTCCCTGAGCAGTGATCCCCAGGCATTGGGGGACCTGCCCTCCCGTGCTGACACAGACACACACACTCCTACAAACCTCAGGGCATCTCCCACTATTCCCTGCCCGAAAGACAAAACTGCAATGAATTCTTTTTTTCAGCCAGTGAAGTAATTGCTTCTTCCCCCCCCCCCCACTTTTAAGTGACTTGAGCATTTTAAACACTGACAGTGAATTTTAATCCTTGCAAGAACAGAGTTCTGTGATCCCAAGCTAATGGAGATGGTTTCCTCGAAGATCTTCTGCCAGATTTAAACCAGCCAAGACTTTTTAAGTCATTTTCTCAGTGTTTGGACTGAACGAGCTTCATCTCTCTCTGTCTCAACCTCTATTATGGTGTTTGCTGGCAGGTTTATCCTTGGGCACAGCCGGTGAGGGCACCAAGAGTGGACGAGCTCCTTGTAGGTGCCAGTGCCAGTCCCGGTGTGGTGGCACTCCCTGCAGCTCCTCCCCTGGCTGTGCCCAGGGGCCTTGGCACACAGACCCTGCCTGTCCACCCACAAATAACCCACCACGTGCCCATCCCATCCCTTCTGTGCTGCCAGACTTGCCAGGTGACACCCAATGTCCCAAACCAACCTGTTCCTGTACCTGCAGAAATTTTGATGCCTCAGTAGGATGGGAAAAATGGCTTTTACCCTCCATCCTCCATCAGGAACCAAGTGTCTCAGGTTGCACACCGAGAGAGCTGTGCCCCAGGAATATTTTGGCTGAATTTCTCTCTCTCAGGGTCTGGTTTGGTGCATTGGGGGCCTCGAACTTATCGGGGGAAAAAAAGTCCCTTCCTGAAACTTGCCCTCCTCTGCTGCCTCCAACCAAGCCGATTCATCTCCTCTGGGTGCCAAAGCCCCCGGAGCACCCCTGGAGCTCTTACCTCAGCTGCCCCAGCTCCAGCCAGCGGCACGGCAGGACCCGGAGCCGGGAAAACCATCCCAGCAGCTGGGGAGCCTCTGGATCGGTGACGCGGCGGCCGCGACCGGCCGAGTTTCTCTGGCAAATTCCAGCCGGGCACCGTAACCCAATCGGCCCCTCGGCGGCCGCACGGGCGGTTTCAGTTGTCAGACACCACGGAGGGACGCGGCACAGGGCTGCATCCTGCGTTTTCCCACCTCATCCCGGCCCCCAGGTGAGATCCAGCAGGTGCTGGAGCGAACCCACCTCACCTGCGACGGGGCAGGGTGAGGAGGCTCCGGGTGAGGAGGGAACGGGGCGCTCAGAGCTCTGATAAGGCACGAGGGTTTTGCTTTAGGCGTTTCAACAAAGGCCGCAAAACCGAAGGAATTACTGGAAATTCCTAAGGCACGATGAAGGATGGGCCGGGGCAGCGTCGCTGACCCTGCGGGAAGAAGGAAGCAGCGCATCGGCCGCTCGGGGCTCCCACGGTAACGAGCTGCCCGGGGCCAAGAGAACGCGGCACACGGCGCTGGGGTTATAAAGTCATTTAATTCACACTTTCACGGCTTTAACCCTCCTCCCCCGCCGCCGCCCCGGCGCCCTCCGGAGCCGGGCGCTGGTTCCTCGCTGGGGCCGCTCCGGGAACGGTCCCCGCGGGGCCGCCGGGGCGCGGGAGGGCGCTGGAAGCCGCTGGAAGCCGCTTGGAGATCCTGGAAAAGGGCCCTTCCGCAGGGCTGGACGGCGCGGACCGGGCGGGAGCTCCGCGGCCCCGGGATCCCCCGGGATTCTCCCGGGGCTGGAGCGTGTGCGGGGAAGGGAGCGGAGCTGGGGAAGGGTCTGGAGCAGCAGGAGCGGCTGAGGGAGCTGGGGGGGCTCAGCCTGGAGAAAAGGAGGCTCAGGGGGGGATGCCAGGGGAGACAGGTGGGGGTCGGGCTCTGCTCCCAGGGAACAAGGGGCAGGACAAGGGGAAACGGCCTCAAGCTGTGCCAGGGGAGGTTTAGGTTGGATATTGGGGGAAATTTCTTCACGGAAAGGGTTGTTAAACACTGGAAGGGGCTGCCCAGGGAGGTTTGGAGTCCCCACCCCTGGAGGTGTCCGAGGAATGACAGGACGTGGCACTGAGTGCTCTGGGCTGGGGGACAAGGTGGGGATGGGGCACAGGGGGGATCCATGGGCTGGGAGGGCTTTTCCAATCTGAAGGATTCTGTGAATCTGTCTTGGCCCTCACAGAAATACTGAAAAGCTTGACCTCAGTCCTGGGCACTGGTGGAGGGACTGGGATGTGCTGGTGGAGGGGTCTGGGGGGCCCTGCCTGGGCTGGGGCTGCTCCATTCCCGGGGTCAGTGAATCCCAGGCCCTGACAGCTGCTTCTCTTACATTCCAGGGCTCGGGATGGAATTCCTGACACTCTTCCTGGTTTACCTGTGCTTTGTGCTCCTTGTCACTGCTCTGCTCTGCCTCTGCTCGGGAAGGAAGGAGAGTTTCCTCGCAAGGAGTGTCAACAGGGCAAGCCAGGTAAAGAACTGGCCTTCCAGGCAATGAATGAGCTGCCAGGTGAAGCACTGAGCTTCCAGAGGAACGATCTTCCCCTGGTCTGGTGGCCTGCCCTGCTTCATTGTGCTAAAATTAGTGCAGCTGCTTTATTTCTGCTCCCTAAGAAATGCCAGTGTGTGTGTGGTTAGAGTGATAATATAGTATATTGCATATTTCATCTTGTTTCGACAACTGCTCTCAAGGAGGTGGGGCTGGAAATAGAAATAAACTCCCTTTCAGATGTTTAAATCCTGCCCAAGCAGGTAGTAAAAACTATTTGAGTCTCACAGCTCCTGTCCCTGCCTGTGCCTGTCTGAGGTGGGGGTGAAGATGGAGCTCCTCAAAATGCTGGAAGCACCTTTTCTGTGACACCACAACGTGCCAGCTTTGAGAAATTAAATAATAATCAGGCCCCGGGAATTTTCAGTTTTACGTTATTTGTTGCTGTCATTGAGGGGAAAAAGATGGGGGAGGTTTAAGGATTAAAATAGAGAATTATAGCTGGTGGCAAATATTTTAGGGGAAGCTCTTTAATGCGTGTACTAATGCTGCAGGCTGTTATATGCTAAGAAAGAGGGAGGAATGAAGAGTTTTAAAAGAGGATTAAGAATTGGCATTTTATTGTTAAAACGGAGAATTGGAAAAGCACCAGCTCATTTTTCTGTCTTTTGGGCTGTGCCTGAATGAAAAGGCAAAAAAAGCTGTAGTATTCCTGGAAGGGAAATGATGAGAGAATTATCACTTCACTTGTAAATTATGTTTAATGCTGTTCACAGCAGTTCAGACAGACTTTGATTTTCATTACTAGTATTATATTTGATCTTGGTTTATGGACACACTGTGCAGAGAAATTGATTATTTTCCCCCATTTCTTAATGGAAATGTTTAACAAGCAGGAATTAAAATACTGCTGTGGTGTGGAGCCACTGTCTGGAGGAATTTAGTTGATATTTGTACATATGAGGTAGATCCATGTGAATATAATCAATACTTTACCTGACCAGGCTCCCCAGGGCAGGGGGCACAGCCCCAAACCTGCCAGAGCTCAGCAGGCATTTGGACAACACTCTCAGGGGCAGGGTGGGATTGTTGGGGTGTCCTGTGCAGGGCCAGGAGTCGGACTTGGATGACCCTCCTGGGTCCCTTCCCACTCAAGACATTCCATGGTTCTGTGATTAAACAGTTTCTCAGGACAATATTTTAAATTCACTTCTGGCCGTAATTGATGAACGTAAATAATGTAAGTATGTAAATAATGAAGTGTATAAGCCTGGAAGGCTGTTGAGGTTGCATTCAGGGTGTTTTCCTGCTGGGTTGTGTCTCCTCTGGCAGAGGAGGCTTTGAAAAGCCTCTTCTTACAAACTCTTGCCCCTTGAACCGCTGAGACGAGACGCGCCAGTTATCACCAAAATATTTAGCATCTTCTCAGCTCCACATATGCTTTTTGCCTCCTGGTCTTTCACATCTGAGGCAGGAAGCTCTCGCTGCATATTTTCTCTCCACGTCAGCCAGAAATAGGCTCAGCTGCTCTAATTCCTCCTCCAGGAGCCGTGTGTTGCTATAGAGATGTGTGGGCTCGGAGCAGCTCCACAGGCACAGGCCATGGCTGGGGATTCACTCCAGGGGCACAGGCAGGTCCTCCCTCAGCATGTTGGACTGTGCTTGAAGGGGCAGTTAGACCTGGAGCCATCGGGCTGGATCAGAGGAGTTGAAGAAACCAGATTTTTGGGGCGTTTGGTTGGATTGTGGGTTTTTTTTTCTTTTTCTGGAGGCCAGCAGGCTTTATCCCTTTGCTTATCTTCACTTGATCTGTCAGATGGCCTGATATTGCAGCTGGGAAATTGCTCAGTTCTATCCCCTGCTTAACCAGTGCCCAGCCTGCACCCACCCTAAGCTCCTTAGAACTTTCACACATTAACCCAGATAACGTTTGTTTGGGCCTGTTGGGCTCCCAGGAATGTGGAACCCCAGCAGCATCCCTGCCCCTGCCCTTCTGTCCTCATGGGAAGCGTGGCCAGGAATTGGAACTGCCCTGGGAGGTTTGGAGTGCCCACCCCTGGAGGTGTCCAGGGAAGGACTGGACGTGGCACTCGGTGCTTTGGGCTGGGGGACAAGGTGGGGATGGGGAAAAGGGGTATCCATGGGCTGGGAGGGCTTTTCCAACCTAAATGATTCCATGACTGCATGTCATGGTTGGGCTGGATGATCTCGAAGGTCTCTTCCAGCCTCGATTCTGTGATGAGGAGCTCAGATGCTCCTGAAAACGAGCCTCCTCCCCAGTGCTGTGGCAGCACAAACACAGAGCTGAGGGGCTGGGGACTCGTGTTTGAATTGGAGCTGCCCCCAGGCAGGGGTGATGTGCAGCTGAGGTAACACAGCATCTCCATTTCCCTCAGGTGCTCTCGCTGGTGATCCCCAGCCAGCTGCAGAGGGTGGCACACAGGGTGGCACACGGGGCACTGCACAGGCTCCTCCACACCAGGTATTGCACTTTCCTGCTTTTTCTATTATTTTTCACTAATATTTGTGGTTACTGTTGGGCTCTCCTGCCACCATCAGAGCTTTCAGTATTATCCTGAGATGTTCCCTCTTGGTTAGGGGTGTTTGTCAGGGGTTACAGGTTCCCTTTAAGGTTTGCCAGGCCGTTGTCTCTCTCTTCCTTGCTCGTTGTTTAGAAGGTGGTGCCCTGAAACATTTGAGCATATTGACAAATGAAGATAATGTGGCTCAGTAACAGATGTTGCTCACACTGGTGGGAGCTGCGTCCCCACAGGAATTACCAGGGCCTGTGTGGCAGCTGCAGATGGAGTCAGACAGACTCGCAGGCTCCATCCTCTCCCTCAAATCCCATTAGTCTTAGTCCAGCAGCCTGGATGTCCAGGTGGCTCCAGGGAAGCTGCCCAGCTGCCAAAGTGCAGCCTGCTGGATTCAGGTGGGTTGTGTGCTTCAGGAATCATTTAAATACCTTTTCCCTGGGGACAGGAGCTCCAGTGTGACAGACACTTCAGGGTGTGACATCTCCAGCTGTGCTGTGAGTGCTGGGCTTGTTGTGCTGCCTGTTCTGCAGATCCTCTGCTGTAACCCAGCCTGAGACAGAGAGGTGACAGTGTCAGATTGCTGGGGGCACTGGGACCCCCCATGCACTGAACTGCTGTCCACCCCTGCCAGCCTCCTGCCACTCTTACTTCATGCAGCTGCTCATAGTACTACAGTGTTTTTAAGGTTGTTTTTACTGGAGTTTTCTTTGCTGTCAGAGCAGCAAATGTCTTCTGGCAGAATGTTTTATGGCCTGTTGCTGTGGCATGTTTTGTCAGCAGCAAAGTGATTATGAGACTTTGTACTGACAGGGAAGAAAAATCCAAGGGACGTGGAAATAATGCCGTGAATTTAACTGGCATATTTAAAGGAGTGTATGGGGGAAAAAGAGAAAGAGAAGCCAGTGGATGGAGAAAACACTATTAATATGCAATCCATGCTGGCCTGAAAACCTAAAAGAGGTGTCTCCTTGCATTTGGAAAGTCTTTGATCACCTCTGAGTGTACTTGACCTGTTAATCAGGATGCTGAGTATTAAATAGACTGTCCCCTTTCTGTTCCAGGAGCTGTTTGTTTGTTGTCCTGCACATGGCCCTGCAGGCTGCAGTGTTTGGGGAATACACCTGGGAAGTGTTTGGGTACTGCTGGGAGCTGCAATTCCACCTCCTCCTCCTCCTCCTGCCCTACCTCCTGCTGGCTGGGAACATGAGCTGCTTCCTGCTCTGCTCCCGGGCCAATCCTGGTGAGCTCATGCTCGTGCTGGAGCTGTTTGAAAACCAACCTTGGAAATTCTGTGAAAACCTCTTTTTTTCACTGTTTTCCTTGTTTCTTCGACAGGTATAATAACAAAATCCAACCACGCATCCCTGGTTAAGGTTTATGCTTATGATGGGGTGATGTTCCAGAGAGGCACCGTGTGCCCCACGTGCACCATGGAGAAACCAGCCAGGTCCAAGCACTGCAGTAAGGGCCTGAGCTTCCCTGAGAAGTTAATCCTTTCCCAAAGGAATCCTGCACCAGGAGCTGCAGTTCACACTCCAGCTGGTCTGTGATGAGCTCAGTGCACACAGGGCTGTGTTTGTTCTCCTGGGGTCCCAGCTCACAGCTGCATTTGCCCAGCCCTGGAGCTGCTTTGTTGCTGTTCCTTCTCACAGAAATTGCCAGTTCTGATGGTCTAATTCGGGGTCAGGAACAGCCAAGTTTTTGAGCAGCTGGGAGTTAAATGACAGATTATCACCTGTCAAGACATAAGTACAGGATTTTGTGTTTCACAGAATCACAGAATCCTGGGGTGGTTTGGGTTGGAAAGACTTTAAAGACCCTCTTGTTCCAACCCCCTGCCATGGGCAGGGACACCTCCCACTATCCCAGGTTGCTCCAAGCCCCATCCAGCCTGGCCTTGGGACACTTCCAGGGAGGAGGAGTCCACCACCTCTTTTTCAGCAAGAGAGTTTGCTGTTATCTAAAATAAAGGTGGGAGCTACAATCTCTACCTTTCAGGTGCAGTTCTGTCAGGGAAACCAAAGCTTTGGAGCTGCGGTCTCGGTGAACAAAAGGGGAGAGGGGACACATGATTTTTCTTATGATGTGTATTTCTAATTAATTTCTTTGGCTCAGAAGCTGTCAGCTAAATCCCAGCCGTCACCCTCACGTATTTTTGGGTTGAAAGCTATCCCAGGGCGTGTAAAAATCAATCTGGTTCCTTGGCAGCCCCGTGACCAGGCTGCTGTGGTGTCCCTGCCCCCCCAGGTGTGTGCGGGACGTGCATCCATCGCTTCGACCACCACTGTGTGTGGCTCAACAACTGCGTGGGGGCCTCCAACGCGGGCTGGTTCCTGCTCTACCTGCTGTCCCTGACGGCCACGGCCACCGCCCTGGCTGCCACCACCCTGGCCTTCCTCAGCCACGTGGTGCAGCTCTCCAACCTCCTGCACAGCACTTACCTGGACGCCCAGGGCCAGGAGCGCCCCGTGGGGATTCCCTTCATCGTCCAGGTAAGCTGACGCTACCCAAAGTTTGGCCTCGCTCTTTGCAAGGTCAGGAATCTTTCCCCGCTCCCTGCAGCCTGTTCCCATCCTGGGAGTTTTAGCAGCTTTGCTCAGCTGATGAGGTTTAGAAAGCTGCCATTGCAGAATACTTAAAAAATGTGGGATTTTTCTCCCGGCACTTCCTTGTGCTCTCCCGTTCTTTGGATTTCTGTCTCCAGTGTATGTCACTCAGCAGACCTGGTTCATGATTGTCGTAGTTTGAGACCCCCAAAATCCAATTCCCGAGTCCAAGCCCCCCTCCCACATCTCACCCCAGTGTGAGAGGGGTTTTCCAGACACAAACACAAGACTCAATATGGGGGTAAAGGGAATTATATTACAATCACTACACACATAAATATTATAATACATTATGTATACAATCTTAACCATCTTTCCTATGCTAAAGCAGTATTTACAAGGGATCAAATCTCTTCTCCCTCCAATAAAAGTCCAGAAGGGAGAAGGAAAGACAATAACGAATTTACATTCCATGACCTCCTAACACTTAGGAAACAGCTGACAATCCTTGACATCCTCATGGAGATGTTAAAGCAGGACCCACTACCCTGGAATTTAGATACTGGGAGTATTTTCTCTCATGTGCAAGCTGAGGGTGACTGTGAGTCTCTCTAGCACTGGAGTGATTTTTATCCCAGTCCCCTCATCCCTGTGGTGTGGCAGTGAGGTGATAAGTACTTAGTGCTTTATCTTTTCCTCATCCTAGACAGCAGATGTTTCAGCCTTGGACTCTCACAAAGGGATCCTGGTCAGGAAATGTTTGAGCAATGCCATTACCACTCCCCAGGAGTGGGGTTTGACTCAGAAAAGAGCTGCTTAAACTGTATCATGTCAGCAAAACCCAGAGTTGTGCCAGATTGTTTGTTGCCCCTTCATTTGGCAGTTTGTTTTCAGACGGTTTGTGTTAATGTTTTACGAAGTAAAACGACAACAAAAAACAAACAAGCAAAACTCCAAACACAAACAGTTGGAAATAGATGGGTGTAGAAAATCCTCCCACATATTAGCAGGGCTTGGGAGAAAATACATGTCTGGAACTCTGCATGCTCTGCTCAGAGGTTCAGGTAGAATCAGGGAATTGTTAAGGTTGGGAAACACCTTTAGGATCACCAAGTCCAACCATCAAGCAGCACCTCAGCTCTGTTCACCACTAACCCACGTCCCCAGGTGCCACATCCACAGGGTTTTTGAACACTTCCAGGGATGGGGACTCCACCCCTGCCCTGGGCAGCTGTGACACTGCTTTGCAACCTTTTCTGTGAGGAAATTTTCCCTGATATCCAACCCAAACCTCTCCTGGTGCATCTTGAGGCCGTTTCTTGAGGGATGGACCCTTGCTGAGCTGGGTGGGGGTCGGGGCTGGGACCTTGTTCCTGGGGCTCCCCCACAGCTCCCTGTGCACATGGATGTTCATTCCAGCTGGGGTTTTACAGTGGCCACGTGATTTAATCCTCCAGTTTTTTAACCGAGTTATTTTTCTCTTTCCTTGCAGCACCTTTTCTTGACTTTCCCCAGGATTGTCTTCATGCTGGGGTTTGTTATCCTGCTCACACTCGTCCTGGGTGGATACAGTGCTTTCAGTCTGTACTTGGCCTTCACCAACCAAACCACCAACGAATGGTGTAAATCCAGAAGATTTGGGGTGTCCCACCATGTCTCATCACAGGCCCCTGACAGACAAGTTGTCTACAAAAACATTTATTCTAAAGGAATCTGGAGGAATTTAAAGGAAATCTTTAGGCCTCCTACAGCACTGGAAAGGAAGAAGAAAACATGAAGATATTTGTGCATCTTTAAACTTTTTTTTGGTAAGATTTTTATTGCAGCAGTGGGTCTGGATGCCCCAAACAGCTTTTGGAACCAGATTACTGCAGAATTTGGGCTGATGGTGCCCCAGCAGAGCAAGGTTCAGATCCCTCCCTCTGTGAGGTCTCTGAGGTTCAGCTCAGCCCTGTCTGCAGGATACAGGGACCAGTAGGAATTTCCTGGGATGGAGAGGATGGTTTGGTCCATCTCCCTGCAGTGAATGTTCCTCTCTCTGGGAAGGGCCAACACAGAGCTGCTGTGAATTTTGAGGAAGCTGCATCTTTTGTGAGTATCTTTGTGTGGGAAATGATTAACCCATTTCTGTAACAGTAAGTACAACAGGGTGTATGTATTTAACTGGAAAAAAGATGGTTATTGACAGCATCTTAACCTACAGAGACCACGTTCTGCTGCAGATTTTGTACTAATGTGGAGCACCTTAATTTCAGGAAGGACATTAAAGTGCTGCATCTCTTTACCTGTCTCTTCCTTGATCCCTGTTTTCAGCTCCTTCACAATAAGATGCCATTTCAGCCTGAAAATTGTGAAAATGGGAAAGTCTGGACTGAATCCTCATACCCATCTCTGGACAGAGAAGGGGATCACAGATTTGATACCGAGCTCTGGACATACAGATTCCACTTAACCCTTCTGGCATTTCCCATCTTTATTCCATTGTTTGATTTTAGGCATTTCTCTGTATTTTGGGCACTTTGCTGCCAGGGAAGTTGCAGTTTCCAGGGCTGCCCCCCTGCAGTCACTGCCCAGGCCACATCAAAGCACAGCAGTGACTAGTCCCCCACTTCTCAAGCACGATATAAATGCCCCCATGTCTTTCTCCTTCCAGAAATTCCTTCTGTTTGTGTGATAACAGAGCAGAAATTAGAAAAAAAAATATAGTAAGAACTTTAAATAATTTTATTTTCAAAAATGTATTTATTTACATGCTGAATCTGTACAATATGCAATTAAAAATCCATATATGGTTTAAAAAACCCCAAATTCCTATACAATATGGCTTTCCAGCCCCCAGACTGGCTCTCAGAGCAGCCTGGCTGGCATTGCAGGGTACAAGGATGCATTCAGAGACCAGTACATAAGGCTACTTGTCCAGGATATCAAATAAAAGAGAAATACTGCAGTACCATGCCTTGGGAGGCCTGAAGGAGTGAGGTTAAAGGTATGAGAGTGTTTGAGTGGTGCTCAACACACCCCACAATTCCTTAGGTTTGGTTTTTCTCCACTTGTTTTAAATGCATATGATTAAACAGTCTCTTGTGAGACCCCACACTTTTCTGAATCCTTCTAAAAACCAGACCACTGCTGTCCTGGGGGCAGAGGGAGCTGATTCCCAAAGGATCCTCCTTAATTTGAGGCTGCTGTACACGACAGTGAGCGTCCCCTGTGGCCTGTCAGTCCCTTCCCTGTGTGACCGTGCAGAGGGTTTTATCCCCTGGTGCTCGTTTTAACCTGGGAGCACCTCGGGCCCGTCCCACCCTGTTCCAGGCCTGTCCTATCCCCCTCCAGTGTGTTCTCTTGCCGGGGGCAGGTCAGGGCTGCCCCACTGCCCCGGGCTGGGGCCCCCCAGCCGGCTCTCTGTGCCCTACACGATGACAGTCTGCACCTCCAGCTCCCCCTCCTGCGCGGCGATGACGAACTCTCCCGCGTGCTCCATGATCTCGATGTCCTCGGACGCCACCATGGTCACCGTGGCCTCCTGGGCGGCGACGGCGCCGTCGGCGGCGAGCACGGCCCCGTCCCCGATGGCCGAGGCCAAGGTCATGGCCACCTGCTCGGTCAGGCTCTCGGGGGTGGCGATGGTGATGGTGTCGGCGGCGTCCGCGGCGGCGCCCGCGCCCTCGGCCACGGTGACGTTCTGCACGATGATCTGGTGGCCCGAGCTCGCCTGGTTCACGATCTGCTGCACCACCTTCATGATGTGGCTGTCGACCTGCACGGGGAGCAGAGGAAGAGGCCGGGTGTGTTCACCGGGAGCAGCAATGGTTGGTGCTGTAGAGGCGCGTGGCGGCTGCGGCGCTGCACAACCAGCCAGCTTCCTCCTGCTGGGAGCTCTCATCACCCCAGCACTCTGCAGCACCTCACCCTCGTGGCACTGAAGGTGGGTCACTAGTAAAGTGCTTCCTACAAAAGGCCAAACTGCTGTTTGTAGAAGAGCCTCAACAGTCCACACCCAAACTTTTAAACTGACGGAATCAATTCAGGAGCTGAGCCGGGTCTGACTCCGCAGCAGCCCTTGTTCCCAGCATTTAGGAATGTCTTAAAGGATCACTGCCCCAAGGGGAGAGTGTTACTGTACAATTTACTCAGCCTGCAGCTCTGCTCTGCTCTGCTCTTGGGTCTGAAGCCACCAGGTCACCATCCCTGAGAGGGTCTGGGGTTATCAAACCCACACTGAGCCACACTGTGTTTTCAGGTCTGCAGAGCTACAGACATGGAGTCGTAGAATCACAGAATGGTTTGGGGTGGAAGGGAACTTTAAGCCCATCTCATTCCACCTCCTGCCATGGGCAGGGACACCTTCCACTAGCCCAGGTTGCTCCAAGCCCCGTCCAATCTGGCCTTGGACACTTCCAGGGATCCAGGGGCAGCCACAGCTTCTCTGGGCAACCTGTGCCAGGGCCTCCCCACCCTCCCAGGGAAGGATTTCTTCCCAATATCCCATCCAGCTCTGCCCTCTGTTAGTAGGAAGCCATTCCCCCTTGTCCTGTCACTCCAGGCCCTTGTCCAAAGTCCTCCTCCAGCTCTCCTCTAGGTAGGTAAATGAATGATTTGAAGTTGGGTTTACTTAGCATGACTCTCAGCCACTAAAAGTGACTCATTTCATCTACATCAAGGCCCCAAAATCCCAGTTTGTGTGGCTGCTTTACCTCATGTCTTGTTCCCTCTATTATTTCAGTAGCTTCACTGGTCTCCATGTCTTCAGTAGAAGTCTTGAAAGACAAAATGAGAGGATTTCCTTTTTAGGTTGTTCCAAAGAAATCCTTTGTTACCAAAATATAATTCACTAAGATCTTTCACACAAGTCTTTCTGTCCCCCCCCCCATGATGCAGTAGCTACTCCAAGGAGACCTCCAGGACATTCCCTCCAAATCCCATTATCAGGAGCTACTTAAAATTAATGCAAAATGTTCACAAATAACTGGAAGAGAACCTCCTCTCTCAGCAGGATTTGGCCAAGCAGCAAATTTTTCTCCTATTGGAGAAAAACTATGGCAGCACTAAAGGAACTCAATAACTGAGCTCTGTTATCCTGCTTGGATAAGAACTGGCTCTGTGTCATGAAGAGGGAGAAAGTGAAATACATAATTCATTGCTTTTGGCAGCCTCTGTTAGAAACAACAGAGACTATCTGGGACAAAACAAGCTAAATGGAAATGGGAGAAGAGAACAGGGAAAGCTGAAGTGAGTTTGTGAGGCCATAAAATCCAGTGTGGTCACAAGTTTCCCAACTCAGCCTCCTGCTGAGGCACTGTCAGCCTGCCCTGTGTTCTGCTTTTCCTGCCCACATCACACACAGCACCTCTGGACGGTGAGGAAAGCTCCAAGTGCTTTCCTTCCAAAGCAGGTTAATCCTGCTGACTCCCAGGGCCCTGCAGGCAGGGGTGATCCTGTTCTACCTTCTCCCGAGAGCCTGGAGGAGGAACACGTGCAGCTGCAGTTTTCCTGACCAAATCCTGTGCTAAATTCCACAGGAGCAGCCGTTTGCCCCCTCTCACCTCGATGATGTACTCCTGAGTGTCGGCCACCACCGAGGAGAACTCCACCAGCACCGTGTGGGGATCCTCCGAGATCACCGTGGCCGCCAAGTTGTCGGCGGACTGACTCTCCTCAGACACCATCACTTCTTCCACCTCCTTCATGGCAACGAGGCAGCCACCTGGAAAATTCCCAAAGTGCCAGAAAAACATCACTTTTCATGGCCATCTCACACAGTACCTGGAAGGTGCTACACAGCACCAACGAGGCCTCTTCACGGGATGCCACGGACCAGTAACCAGTGTCACACAAGAGGCTCTCAGCACACCAGGCCAAGGAACAGCCTAGGAAAGCCCTGTGTGACACCAGGCAACTGAGCCTCAAGCAGAGCAGCTCTCCAGTGCAATACCAAAAAATACACAGCTAAATTCAGATGATAAAACCACACAGGATTTCAAAAGCTGTCTGTGAAGAACCTACAGGAAGAGTCTGGGTATATTTTAAGTCCCTGTTCTATTTTGCTGCTGCATTTCAGTATCTCCTAGGAAACTTCTTCTTCCCCTCAAGTAAACTTGCATTGTTCCTTGGAACCTAAATACACCATCAGCACTACCTGAAGGAGTCTGGAAATCCATGCTTAGGAGCTAAAGGAGCAGCAGGTCCAGTGCAACTAACCCCATCAAACAAGATCATCTGTGAGAACTTCACTCGAGACATTTTCCCCACAGAACTCACAGGCCCCTTCAGATACTGGAAGGACTGTTGGGAGCTTCTCCAGGCTGATGTGACCATCTCCAGGCATCTCCTGACGCACACACGGCCTCGGACACGGGGCACATCCACCCCAAGGATCATTTCCCTCTCAGCCAAAGAGCAGCTTGCCCAAAGCCCAGCCCCGGGGGCTCACCTTTGGTGCGGAGGTGCCTGTTGAGCGTCCCGTGCTCGGCGAAGCCGCGCCCGCACTTGTAGCACTTGAAGGGCTTCTCGCCGGTGTGGTGGCGGATGTGGCGCACCAGGGAGCCCTTCTCCCGGAACCCCCGGCTGCAGAACTGGCACACGTAGGGCTTGTCCTCCAGGTGGGTGCGGAAATGCACCTGCTGCGCGTTCTGCACACACAAGGGAACAAGGGGAGGGCTCCTGAGGGGCACGGCAAACCCACGGGGGAGGGATTTCGGCTGCTGGGGGAAGCTCGATGTTTTTAGGAACTCTGGCGTAGGACACGGGGATTGATTTTGTGGCGTCGTGGTTTAGGGACGGCACTGCCCAATTTAGTGCCCCCACTGAGACTCTCCAAAGCGTGAGCTGCTGGCTCCCCCTCCCTCTGCAGTGGGATGGCACAAAAGGTGAAGATCACGGGTGGAGGTAAGAACAATTTACTGGAAACAGCAATGAGGTAAGAAAATGAACAGTAACAGCAACAATACCAATGGCAAAGGGTGCAAGAAAGAAATGAATGATTCCCACAAAAACCTCCCAATAACAGGCAATACTGAACAGCTCCATCCAGCACTGTTTTCTCAGCCCAAAGGAACCCCCTTCTGCCCAGAAGAGACTTCCCTCCACCATCCCCAGCAATGACATGGGTGGTACAGAATAACCTCTGTGTCCTGGTCATGCCCCTCCTGGCTACTGCAAAAATTAACCCTGTCCTGGCTGGAACCAGGACATACTGTTATTCCATATTTGTTCCACACATGAAAGAAGAGTTTCTTCAGAAATGAGACAGTTTTATGAAGACTGTCCTTCTTTTGCCCACTAAAC